CAGGAAGAATGGACAAAAATTACCCCATCTCATTGTGCAAAGCTGGTAGAGGCATATCCAAAATGGCTCACAGCAGTAATTGTCACCAAGTACTGATTTAGGGGGACTGAATACTTTTCCAATCAGCAGATTTCAATTTATATATTTTCTTTGCAAGTAATTTGTACCTTAAACCATTATGCCAAAATTAAATGCTTTTAGAACATTGAGGAAGGTAGCTGTGGTTGTTTGTCTTCCATTAAAACCTTTATAAACTGATTCTGTTAATCTAACTAGGTGGTCTGAGGTTTGTCTATTTTTCTTGCCTGCATTTTGATTATTGTTTAGGATCTTGTTTACTTCAAGGTAACAGTTGGTTATAAGTTTTCCATTAACTTTTCTAATGTGTTAAGTAAGCTAGTAGGTCTATAATTACTTGGGTTACTTCGGTCGTTTTCTTTCTTGAGTAACACTTTGATGGTAGCTGATTTCCATATACAAGGGTAATATCTGGAAAGTAGTGATAAGTTATATACTGCGGCTAGATGTTCTAAGATCGGGTCAGAGAGGTGTTTAAGGATTATGTTGTTGATTCCATCTTCTCCTGGTGCCTTACGTTTGATCTTCTTTAAATTTAGTTTTATTTCCATGAGTGATATGGGATGTGTGAATATATTACAAGGATGATTATTTTGCTGCACAGAAGTCATGAATCTTGGAGTGAAAATATCTGGATTATTGGCTACTTGATCATTTATGTGACTAAAGTGTGATGCATCAAATGATGCTAGGTTGGGTGTTACAAATGTGTTTCAAAGTATTGGGTGAATAGTTCTGCTTCTTCATTACTGGTTGAAGCTATCACATTATTATATTTAATTGTGTTAAGGCTGTTTTTAGATTGATTGTTAGTGATTGATTTAAATTTACACCAAAATACCACTAGGTCTCACTGTGAACTGTCTATAGACATACAGAATCCATCCCAGTTATCATGTGCAAGTTTCCTGATATTGGGATTTATATTACTAATCATGGGTTTTAATGTGGGGTCACTAGTATGGATGAAATCATGTATAAGTTGTCATCTGCTAATAATTAACTGGTAAATTTCAGGTAAGTTTCCATGGATTCATGTTGGGGTTACATGATTTACTGGGTACTGTTTCCTTTATTGCTTCAGTTATTGCATTTGTGATCTCGCTTGCATAATTATCTATTTCAGTGTGATTAGTGGCACTGAGTCTGGTTTCTGGTAAGCATTTAGCAATTTTATTATTCAGTGTTAACCAATCTGCTTGTGAATAATCATAAACAAGTGGTTGTTGCTGAGAAATATTCCTGTGGTGGTGATACATGGTAAACAAGGTGGGGTTATGAACCCCCTCCAATGTTGTTATGAATTTGAATTATGTGTGTGGTTGGTTAATGCAATGGGGACTATTGCTAAATCAAGAATGTCTTGAGACCCACAAAATGTGTGTGTGTGTCATGATGTTATTGTTAATTGTTACTAGACTGTTATCCTCTAAGAATATATGTAAAATTCTACCATTAGAGTTAGTGATACGACAATTAAAATCAGTGTGCTTGCAATTCAAATCTTCGACTATTATGGTATTGTGAAACTGGTTATATGTACTTTAAAAGGTGTTAATGTCGGGTTTGTTGGTGGGAGAGACTTAAATGTTAGCTAGTGTTATTGGCAGTGACTTGGAGGGGTGAATTTGGCATAGAATTATTTTGCCAATATCAGGTGTGTGAACATGAGGGAACGTAACTTTGATGAAGTATTCCACAACTACCATTACTTTTAGGTTTATCATATATTTTATAACCAGGAATATTAAAATTACTGTTTTCATTAATGTTTCATTAACACTAATGAAATCTGCATTTAATGTTTTACTTAAATTATATAGTTAAAAGTTTTTTAAATTTAACTCACACTGAATATTTATTTGTATTACGGTAGCCAATTTTAGATATTAAAAACATCACTTACAGTAAAAGTAGAAAAACATAAAAGACTTACCCTTCTTCATCCTGACAGGCTACCCAGTGTCTTTCCAGGATGCAACCAAGGGTTATTGGGTTGCCGAGTTGCTCTGTCTGGAAGTAATAAGCAGCAGCATTGCACACCTTCAATACTACAGCATCTCCTTCGAGGGAGTTACCACATAGTTCAAAGATGACATCTGCTATGATGCTGGTGATCATGGGAAGCAGGTCATCCATATCCACAGGTGACTCCACTAGATTTGTAGGCAGTGACTTGGCTTGTGGCTGTTGTATGGCTTCAGAGTCAGTCTTCAGCTCTTTGGCCTGTGCTTGGTGACAAGTGGCTCGCTGAAGTGTAGGGTCTTCTTGGGGATACTGGTCATTGGAGCAGCAACTGTTGTAAGTTGTTGTGATGTAGTTACAGGCTTGAATTGTGGGCATCCACAGTATGATGTGGCATGCAGACCATTACAGTTCACACACCTTGTCTGGTCACACTGGCTTGTGCAGGCTGCTACCAGGTGAGGGCCTCCACACTGGACACACCAAATGACTGCTGTACAGGCAGTCATAGTGTACCCAAAGCATTGGCACTTGAAGCAGTGGATTAACCTTAGTCCACGGTCCTTGGCTACTTCAATTTGGTGGCAGTTGAAGAAGAGTGTAACTCCTAACGTGATGGTTTCCTCGGCCTTCATGTCTGTCATTGTGAATTTAACCAGCAGTGTGGGGAGTCTGGTATGGGAAGACTTGATGCATTCGATCCTGATCAGGGTAATCTCCTGGGCAGCAAGTTCTTCCTTAACTTCATCTAGGGTGATGTCAAAAGGCACACTGCAAATCACAAGGTCTTTTCCAGGTAGGTGGTCTCTGGTGACGTGGATCGAAAGCTTAGCACTGTCAAGGGCTGAGGCAGGCCATGGCTAGAGGATGGTGGCATATCCTTGCAGCTTCAAACACTTAAGAACAACACCCCCTCTTGGCAGGCATCATAGGTGGGTAAAAACAGTCATTGGGAACAGACGGCACAGTTCCTTGGTGATCTCGTGGATGGCACTAGATATACCCTTGATGACAATGGCTGGTGGCATCTTAGGGGTGGACACTGGTGTGGCAGGAGCAGTGGGATTGGCAGCCTGGACAAAGGCAGGTACAGTGTTAGGTGTACTGGCTATCTGGCATGGGACAGGAGAGGCAATGTTGGCTGGCTGAGTGGTGGTCTGGCCTTCACTTGATTCTGGTGCTGTGGAGGTCTTGGACTTGGTTAGCGAGCTCCTAGGTGTCAGGTCTTCTTCCTCGCTTGAAGAGGATGAAGAATCTGAAGATTCCTGCTCGAAAAAACGAGCAGCAATCCTGGACCTCCATGAGTAGCTGGTACTGGTTAGAGGTGGTCAGCAGTTCTCCAGTGGATAGGGTAGCCATATTCTGGGTCTTCATTGGGTGGTCAGTTGACAGGATTCAAATTCCTGAAAATAAATAACTCAAACAAAAAGATCTTAAGCACTTAAGGTTATAAAAGTATAGAATTACACTAGATTCCTAATAAGGATTGTTTTGATAAGCTGAAATCAGTAGTTTAAGAATAACAACTGCATGGTCCAAAATCTGGGCTGATAATCACCAAAAGAAAAAAGAAGTACCCAATAAACTTTTCAAAATCATGCCAGTCTTTTATACCCCTATATTTTTTGCATCATTGCAGAAACGTGCTGATCATGTGACCACCCTCCACCAATCCCATTATGCCCTCTTTGCTAGTGCAGGTAACTCCCTCTACCCTTGCAGCACAATCCTCACTTTTTCAGTTGGCATTCTCGTGTATAGGTGTGTGTTTTATGTTCTCCATGTAACTGCACAATTTTTAACTGTGCTTGATCACCGATTAATACGAGTTTCAAGTTTCTACTCCTTTGCTTTTGAGATATTTCTTTTTCCGGAATTCTATTTTGTTGATATGAATTCGAGTTTGTTATGGCAGTTGATAATTTTCCTGCCATAAGTAGACAGCGCTTATAACACTAGGCCTCAGTCTCAGGTTTTACTATGTCTGCTGAGAAAGCACAGACTTTCATTCATGGGAGTTTGTGTCGTACATTCAGCCAGCAAATTTTTTCCTTTTAAGATAGGTATTGTTCTTTTTCCCAGGAGATCTGTGGTAAGCTTTTCAGTGTGTATTTCCCACTCTACACAGATATACCCATGTTCAAAATGAGTTTATGTGAGCTCGTGTGTTTGGATGTAATTTCCACACTCGATAATTTACATCATACATGTCTATTCCAGTTAGTGTTGTGTAAGTTTGAATTTTATACTTCTTTTACCATTTAGGTTACTTTAGTTTACAACTTTCATTTAGAGTTTGTTTCTTGCATTAATTTAGTTTAATATTTTACATTTTGTTCACTGTTAATGTTACTTAGTTACAAGTTCCTTTAGCTGCTTGACACCGTCGTCATTTGGAGGAGATCATTCAGTTTGGTATGTAGACAACTTTCTATACTTTCGTCACTCATTCTCTGTACAACTTCTCTGTGTTTTCCTCAGGCAGATATTGCCTTCCTTCTGTGGCAATTCTACACACGTCTTTTCTCCTGTGACTGGGGTAAGTCGACTTTTTTTTCTTTCTTTTATCCTTGATTATATATCATATTTCAGGATCCCACTTGATGGAGGGTGCTGAATTTTATATCTTAGCACTATATCTGTATACTTCCCCAGTGCTCACTGCAGAGATGAGGTGTGTCTGTAAGACCACCAGATGCTTTTCCTGTGGCGTATCTATATCTGTGTAGCACATTTTTTTTATCATTATCTATATATATCTATCTATCCTGAGGACCATTACTCATGAACTTCCTGAGTAAAGCAGATAGGGATTTTTACTGACACGTGATTCTTAAAGTCTGGGTCTTTCTGCTTTTCAAAACTGGGAAATGCAGACACCCCTTGTACTGTCTCTGGTGGGTTGTTCCTCCGGACCCTCCAACACCTGCTTCCCCTGGATGTTTTCTGCCTGAGCAGACTGCACTTGGCGTATTCATATACGGTCCTTTAGCCTTAGCCACGTATTATATTTGTTTCCATCTTATGTATCTTATCCTCTTTACTTGGTAAAGAGCCTACCTGTTCCATTAGTTGCGTTATACCCCACAGGTGTTTCTCATATTTTAATTGTGGCACACCTGCTTTTTTCATAGCAATAGCTCACCACTTGATTACTTGTTTTTGTGCCTTCACCTGCCCCTCCACCTTTCCAATGTGGGATTCTAGCTATGGGGAAGCGGAGTAGTATCATTTCAGAAGTTAACATTTGCTAACACTGAAATGTATTTTCAATAGATACATACCTCCTCCCCACTGATTTGTTGGTGTTTTGTGGTTTGTATATACTAGTTCTCAAAAGTGAGGATTGTGCCACAAGGGTAGAGGGAGCTACTTGTGCTAGTATAGAGAGCACAATGGGATTGATGGGGGGTGGGCATATGATCAGCATATGTTGCTGCTATGATGCAAAAGATATAGGGGTATAAAAGACTGGTGTGCTTTTAAAAAGTTTACCAATGCATAGAGGGCAAATGAAGGTTGAGATAGCGATGGGTGAGAGAGATAAGTACCTGTTGGAAACATTTTCAGTGTTAGAAAGCATTAACTTCCATCAACACAAAATGGTATTTTGTAACCAAAATAAAATAAGAAAAGAAGAAATAAAACTTCTTTAGTCTTTTAGTTTTTCCATGCTTATTACTCTTCTCCAGAATTAAAAATGTAAATATTTGCTTTATTCTGAACATTATGCACTTGGAGAACAGGTCTGCGAACTTTCATTCATCAGTTTGCCTGCTTTTGAATCTAGAGCCCCCTGATGTTTTCCAGAATTTTCAGTAACCCCGGTTTTTGTCCAACAATAGAAAAAAATTGGAGGAAGTATTCTATTTCACAGTGGTATCAATGGGAAGAAGAAAGTTCACTGTGCACACTTTTGTGAAGTATAATTGCATAAAATGTAAAAGCTGCTTTAAAATGGTTTTTAAATCAACCTGTATTTTACCATTAATCTGCACTAAGGTAAGTAATTTCAAAATTTAAGCATGTCAAGTGCAGTAGTGAATGCTGGATTTAATTATAATGTATTATAATCCTAGCATTGGCAGCAAGAAGCATTCAATTCAATCTGTATCTGCTTAGTTGTTTGAAGATATAAATAAATATTTATTCTTCAAAAGCATGCCATATCAGTGGTGAATAAGGAAGAATATTATCTCCCTCAATATGGGCTTGGTCATTTTGACTGACCTAGTAACTACTAGGTATCCATTAAAATATCCATACTATAACTTTAATATAGTAAGTTTGTCTTAACAAAATTTGGCAAGTCTTTAGTAAACATTAAAAGTATTTTGTACACAAAAAATCAGATTTTTTAATTAATCATTTTTACTAAAAATTTGTCTGTTATTTTATATGGAGCTAGAGTGTTGACTAGTCCAAGTGCAACGTGTTTTTCATGTTAAAATTAAAAACAAGTTTTAGCATCTTACAGTTTTCAAACTTCATTTGAATAACTTCAAGAACCTCATAAATGAACCTTGAATGTTGTTTTGTTTTTTCTGTGGAAACTTTTTATTTTATGTTACTTTCTTTACCCTAACTATATGAATTTGATTGATTTGACCAACTTCGTTACCACCCCAAAAAAATAAAATTACCCATTTTTTCTTTCTAGGATAACTGCATGTTGTAACCAAAAATTGAAGTTATTTATCCTAAACAGCTTAAGGCTTGTAACAGTTTAAATCTGTTTCTATTTAATTTTGTTGTTATATTTCCCTTTGAACAATGTCTAACTAATACAAGCTATAAATCACACTACAAATGTGTAGCTTCAATTGTCATGTTGAATGATATAATGCACAAGCTACTTGCAAGCATACCTTGTGGATAAAATTTATTATAATCATTTGTTTTTCATTACCTAATCTAATACACCTCTGATGTTTGCATTTTAGTTAGGTTTGTACACAAAACATACACAAAAACAAGAAATGTTGTACTTATGTTTGTACCCCCCCCCCTTTTTTTTTTTTTTTTTGCTGTCTGCCTGCTAATGAAACTTAAGCCTTTTTTTTGTAATGGAGGTACAAGTACATTGAATAGTTTTTATTAATTTAAAATATGCACTTAACAACACAGAAATAATAACACACACAAAGCAAACAATATCCTAAAACTATTAATTTAGCTGGCTTTCTAACTAAGAAATAAGCATCTTAGAATTTAATTCTTTTAGCTACTCAATCTGAACTCGGTGATACCAACTTTCAATCTATAAGTAAAATAACTAAAGATCTTCAATGGGAACAATGTAACATTAACACCAACTGGTAAATTACAACTTTGTCTAAGTGATGTAATACAAAAAATGTTGGAGAGAGAGAGAATTATTATTAGAAATTCAGACCCATTTAATAAAACTAAACCAAATACTCTTCATTGGATCACTCTTGTTCCTGCCCCTCAGTGGCACAGTGCTATGTCTGCAGACTTACATTGCTATAAACCAGGTTTCGATATTCGTGGTGGGCAGAGCACAGATAGCCCATTGTGTAGCTTTGTGAATAAGTACAAACAAACACTATTGCTCAGCTCAGAACAAGACTGTCATCCAGTGTCACTGCTGTTTCTGGCTCTTTCTTACACAGTCATTCATAAATGTAATACTTTCCAGATACTTTCTACATAATAATGTGTGTAATTTCAGCAGTATCCTGATCTGCTCATTATTTCCATGTGTGAGATACATTCCTTAAAGGTTTTGTGAAACATTAACAATTACAGTGTAAGCAAGCATCTAGGATTGATGTAAAACCCAAAATACATGAAAGCCATCCAAACATACTTGAGAAAAAGGAACTACTTGAGCTCAAATAATATGTAATATGAATGCAGCAAAACGAGTGACTTGACATTATCCATATTTTATTCAAGTGCTGGAAAACTGAATTTAAATTTCATTAGCTTCTAGTTCACCTCATTAAATTTTGCTTATGTAACTTGGTGATGATTTGTAGGTGAATTAGGAGCCAAACCAACCCAAAAATGTAAATTCAGTTTTACAGCACATGAATAGAATGTTACAGTGAGAGTAATGCCAAGTTGTCTTTATTTTGCTATGAGATGTCATATACTTTTTGAGCTAAAGCAGAATTTTGGCTTTTTTTTCCTTTCACATAAGCATTTTTTGATGGATTATCTCTATCAAGTATCTATAGTCTACTAAAACTACATGATGTCCTTAATGTGTCTTCTGGTCCCTCTCTCTCTTAGTCAGAATATGTCTTTGTCATAAATGTAATATCTGTGAAAAGTTTTTGTGCTAAATATTTAATTTATTTATAACATTTTTTAATGAAGCTTTATATATAAGCTTTAAAACACTTGATGTTCAATAAAACTAGAAGAGAAACCCAATAAATAATCCAAGGTACTTCACAAAATGGACTTTCCTTCATAGAAGGTAAATAGCAAATGACCATTGTAAGCATGTTGATTAGTGGTCATTGTACTGCAAGTGAGACATCAAGTGTTTCTAAGAATATAACCTAAGTTATCAAATAGATTTGTGGGAAACAAAGAGTAAGAAAAGTTTTGAAGTGAAATTTGGCCACATTCGAAGAAACTCATAATGTCTCATTTTCAGTACAACTACCAGATAACTGATCAACATGCTTACAATGGTCATTAACCATTTACCCTTATGAAGAAAAGTACACTTTCTGAAATGTCTCAGGTTTGGGGGTTTCTATTCAGGTTGTAAGTTTTTCTGTTGATCCTGCATTCTTCTCAATATCATGAGTACAGATCTGGCCAGCTCTTGATGTTTAACATAATGTTTCTTTGCCTACATTTTTTTTTCTTTACTAGGATACAAAACTTGAGACACGGCTATCCCATTTTATCAACCCATTTTGTTTTAAAATAGTAAATTTCACTGAAGAAGTTGTGCTAGCTGCAGATTCAGTCCAGCACCATTCTCAATGGATTTCACACATTGTGCAACACATCAAAGAACATGGTAAGTTCTAATATAGTGAATGCTTTAAGTGTATTACACTAGTACATTTGCCATCATACCAGCAAGTATCATCCTAAGAATCAGAAAACAACATGTTAACAACATTCATTAGTTTCATCATCATAAGAACCATGTTAAGTATCATCATTTTAGCATAAAAATGCTAAGTTTCAGAAAACAAACTGTAGATGTGACTCACAAATATCATTATCACAGCATGAACTGTGCAGTATCAACAAAATATAGGCTGTAGATAAGAGCAGCATGTTGTTAACAGCATTTCAATATCAACCATAGCAAGTATTTCAAAACTAATGTAGTTACAGTGCAGTTATGATTTTCAGGCTAAATATGATTTTAAGTTACTTAAAGCTATAACATAGCTACAGTACAGACCATTAATTATTGTTGAAATCATATATTAAGATATGAACATTATACAAACAAATGTTATTGTATATCTATCTCTCTATTCTCAAATAAGTGGCATTAAGGTTATCTTAGTTATTTAATTTGTTTGATAATAGTTTTAAAAACAAACTTTTTTTATTCACAGAACTATGGGGGTACTTGGCAGAGTCTGTAATGAAAATTTCTTCTCCTTCTTCACTTGTTTTCAGGCAGCAATCTCTTTATGAGGAAACATAAATCAAAGGTATTTAAGTGTTTTGAACCACATTTAATAACATGTGAAAGTAACACAAGTAATGATTCACTCTCTTTGCTAAAAACTTTAAATACTTCTGGTAATTTCTGATAACAACTCTATAAAGATACATTTACTGTTTGCAAGAATTATAATCAGTACAATGTGTATGTTTTTTTTGTTGTTTTTTCTTCGTGCAACTATTCCAGAGTCTATCAGTAATGTAGTTTTCTCTTTCTCACAGTGATTTTATATATATCTGTTTAAATGTTTAGTAACTCTTGTTTCCTATAATCTTTTTCATAACTTGAGGTCCCCAGTGGGACAGCAGTAAGTCTATGGACTTACAGTGCTAAAATCCATGGTTTGATTCCTTGCAGTAGACACAGCAGTTAGCACAATGTGACTTTGCTTTAAAATGAATTATTACTTGAGTAGAAATCAGGTCAAACTAATTACAAGAATACAAATTTTAACACTAAATGTTAGTTACAATAAAACTTTGAAAATTCTACATTTTTGTGAAAGGATACGTAACAACAGAAATATGCAGTTCTTATTAATGAATCATTTCTAAATATATGTATGTAATTATACATCACAACACACATAATATTGTTGTAGAATCTATTTGTAATGTTTTGTTCACTAAAGGAAGTTTTTACATGATCTGAGAATTGTGTGAAGTCTATAAGTTCCAAGAAAGTTTAAGCTTCTTTGAATCTCAAATTTTCATGAAATAGAGTACAATATAAAAATGCCAGACTGAGCAAGTTATAATTGATTAATCAGTTCATTGTCAGTTAAAGAGTTTTTGTGAAGTAGACAACAAGAGTTAGTGATTGTTCATGATTAATAGAATTAGTAAGTCCATCAGCATTGATTGATTACTGAGGAACATTTTCGGATAAGTGATTTGAACTTCATTTGTGAGTTATGTATACATTAACTTTGAAATTATTTCTGTTGAATCATTGCTTGTGAAGTTAGGCCTGCTGGTAAACATAACATGTAGCCTGTATGTATAAAATGCTTTGAAGAAATAAGTTTGTTTGTTATCCTCAAATGGATTGAATTTGCATTACTTTTACTGAATAATCTAAAAATAGAATAAATTTCAACATTGATGTCAGAAGTGGGATAATTTTGGTGAAAGTAAAATAGAAATTTGATTAAACCATAAGATGAAAAAATGAGCACAAAGTTAGATTGTAAATTTTCTGGAAATCATGAAACTGTGGAAAGAGAAACAAATGGAAAGAAACAGAAAAAATTTTTCAGAAGCCTTGAACTCCCATGTACCTTACATTAAACTGGTTTAACTGCATCACACGTAAATCATCATGCCACAACTTTCCACCAATAAGAGTGCAAGACACTCACCTGATGCATGTGGCTCCCTGTACTCGATTCTACTGAACTATCACTTTTCATTTGGCAGTACTCGTGTCAAAACATTTTTGTAATGCTCCTCAATTATGTTTTTTTTTTTTTTGTTCAACTTCATGATTTTTTGTTGTTGTTATATTCCGAAGTGGATTTTTTTTCTTTGTTTTTCAACAGTTAATGACTTTTCAGATGACTTATTTTCCCAGTTGTTAATTTTTTCCTCATCAAACAATTGTGTATGATTTTTCATTGTGACATAATGAACTTCAAAATTCAGGTTACCATTTCGGAGATAATACCTTCTACTAACATTTACACAGGCTGCAGGTTGGGATGACTTGTCTTTGGACTTATCAGCAATCATCTACCATGAGATTGATCATTATGTGAGTCAGTCTTCTTCTCCTGATCTTGCATTTATTCCTCCTGAACATGCCGAACCTGTACGTGTTGATGAGAATTTTGACAGCTTTTTTTCTCCACCTAATTTTGCCATGTATTCCTGTACCCTACTGTAAAAAGAGCAAGGTCTAATACAGCTTTTTTTAGACATGATTTCTCAGGTATGTTATGTTGTATCCACTTCCCTGATTTTTATGATCCCTGTCTTTATTTGTTACATGATACGTTCTCCTCTCAGTATTTGGTTTTCCCCCCTTCCCCAGACATTATGGTTCATACTGAGCATTTTGTTTCTCAGATGGTTGATGTTGCTAGCATGCCTAGCTCTCTGATTAGCTTGCCTTTGCCTACCATCAGGCTGAATGTCTGTTTCTCAATTCTCAACAGTTAGAATCAATTTTTCCCATGTGTAAGGTGGATCCTGATCATCCTGTTCAATTTTCCCACCTTCATCTTACCCTATTGACTCTCGTATGGTACTTGTCTACCTTCCACCTTCTTTCTGAGGTAATCCACAGAGATCCTGAGGGGTTTTTCAGGGATAGTCTCTCCTGATTACCTCCACGTTGGCACATTTGTCTTCAGCTCTAACCTTCCACATGTGGTTTCTCTGTTGTTGGAGGAATGCTGCTTTGTCCCAAGTTCATTTACTGCCTCCTTATCTTCAGGACTTACATATGGCCCATTTTCTACAGTAGTATGTTTTTGGTAATATTCCTGAGACTTTGGAATGCCATGTGGAGTCAGTGTGACAACAAACTATCCTTTCTTCTTTAGTGGATCATTTGTCTCATTCAAAGAATAAACATGCCCATATTACTGTTTCCCATCCAGCTCCTTAGCTGTTCCTACCTCTTCATCTCATCATTTTATTCGATGCAGATGGACACATCATCAACAGTACTGGTGACTACCCATTAGGTTCCAGTTCAATGTGGGCTTGCTTGACTGATTTTGTTTCCCTTTGGCAACTTTTTGCCACAGATCTGTTTGGTATTCAGATGTTATCCATTTTTTTTCCACCTCTATTGTCTCAGATACCCATTTCTTTTTCCATTGCCTCGGGATCCTACCACCAGTCAACATCTGTCTAAGGCAGTACAAGATCTTTTCTCCCAGCAGGGCATTAAACCTGTCAATCATCCTTCTCCAGGTTTTTATTCCAGGCTATTTGTGGTACCCAAGAAAACCAGGGACTGGTGGCCTGTGATCAATTTGTCCCACCTCAATCAAGATGAGTTTTTTCTCTGGGTTTGTGGATGACCAAGGTAGATGTTGCAAATGCTTACCTGCATGTCTCAATATCTCGTCAGTCGAGGCACTATCTTTGGTTCGTTCATCACAGGGTAGTTTATCAATTTTGTGCTCTGCCCTTTGGGCTTGATTTGGTCCCATATAGCTTTTGTCAGGTGGTCAAGGCTTTTGCCCAACATTTGCATGCTCGGAGGTTGTACTTCCATCATTACATGGAGGACTGGCTTCTGCCCATCACACTCATCTGCTGCTCCTGGGGGCAGCTCGTGTGGGTTGGTTAATCAAATTGGAGAAGTCATTCATTATACCTACCCAATATCTTTTCCATTTGGGTGTCTTTTTCAACACCTATCTCATTTGGGCCCAACTTTCTCATCTTTGACTCTGATGGAGCTTTCAGTTCTCTATGCCCTTTGTGCTCCCTCTCTTACAGCTCGTGAGATTCTATTGCTTCTGGGGATGTGGTCTTCCATGGAAGCCCCACTCCCCTTGGATCAAGTGTCTATAAGGTCTCTCCAGTTGGCTCTGCACGACCAATGGAATCTTACATGGGATCCATTGAAGGCTTCCTCCTTCCCTTATAGGCGATCTGCATTGGTGGTTGGACAAGACTCACACGTCGGTGGGTATTCTGTTCCCTTGTCTGGATTTGCATATCATCATGGACTCTTCCCTTCAGGGCTGGGAGGCATGGAATGATCAGCAAGAAGCTTCAGGTCGATGATTTCCAGCCGAAAGATCATACTATATCAACATCTTGTTTCTTCTGGCTGTATGTCTTGCTTTGGATCATTTTCCAGGAATCGTCTGGTCATGATCCAATCTAATATTTCTACAGTGGTGGCTTAAATCAGTCACTAAGGATACACCTGTTCTTGTTCCTTTTATGGTCAAACCTTGGATCTCCTTTTTTGGTTCCACACGCTTAGTATTTTTATTATTGTGTGTCATGTACTAGGTGCATTCAATCTTGTTCCAGATCATCTTTCCCCTTCCGACAAAGTTTATCAGATGGAGTGGTCTCTCGAACCTCTTGTTTTCCAGTGGCTATCCCTTCAGTAGGGTACTTCTTACCTGGATGCATTTGCCACATCCCTCACTACCTAGTTACCTCTGTTTTGGTCTGTTTACTCCTCCTATTGCTATGGCTGTCAATGCATTCAGTCAAGATTGGACCATCAAATATCTGTATGTTTATCCTCCCATCCATCTTCTTCACGGGTGATTTCAACCATCCACACTACTCTGTGTCAAGTCCTTCTGATTGCTCTATACTCCATCTTCAATCTGCCCCTTCATTACCTCTTCTTCTTACTCCATTCCTTCTATATCAACCTCAGTCACCAGCATTTCTTCCAGCCTTACATATTCTCCATCTTCACACCTGGTTTTATCCGGTCCCTGGTTAGGAGATCCGGTTTGTCCTGGTACGTCCCTTCTTTTTTTGCTTGTTCCAATCGCCCTTTCTCTAGGGGTGTTTATCAACATAAACTCTGGGTTGAGGGTTTTCTGTTGATCGACCCACTGTTTCTCGCATTGCAATTTTCTTACTTGGCTTTTCGATCGGGCGTATTCTGTCTCATCGATTGTGGGTTATTGGACTACCTCTTCCACCCTTTCCCTATTGTTGTGCTCCTTCTGAATTTGTTGTCCACATCAGTGTGCAGTCCTTCTGAATTTCGATGTTATTGTGGTTCTTCACTGCCTCACTTTGCCACTATTTGTGCTGATTGTTTCATTCATCTCTTAAAACTTATTTCCTTCTTTTATTAGCCTGTGGATGTCATCAGTCAGATATATTTGCCATCATCATTTCGCATACTCTATATCATTGTTCTTATATTCTCCTTTATCCAAATCTGTCTTTCCTTCCCAAAATGTCAGTGGCTCGGGAGGGTAAATCCTCCTTCTCGCCAATTTTCCTTCTTCCATTTTCATCTTTATCCTCTGTCAGATCTGGTTAG